GACTATAACTCCCATTAGGCCAGCATCTGCAGGATGGTGTTGAGGCTGATGGGCACTGTAGTGGAAAAGCATCTGGAGGGCACCAGGTTGGGAAAACCTGCCCCAAGGACATCTGCAGAGGCCCTTTGCCATGTGCCTAGAGAACCGGTTCTACAAGTGCCTCATAATATAACAAATATCGCCTGTCAAACTCATTTTAATTTCCAGAATAAATTCTGTTGTGGCTAAAGCAAGAAATATTGCTGGCCAAGGCCTCAACCGACCAAATGCACTGTGGTCCTTACAGACTTGTTATCATCTCCAAGTCTTCCATTTTAGTAACTGCTATATATCGCTGTACCCTTTAAAAGTGACAATGGGGAGAACAGGTTTAATTAGTAATCAACTACAGGATTATTTGATCAATCGGTGGCGGAGGGGGAATTAGTGAGGTAAACTTTTAGCTGTTGGGAATGCAAATTAAAGGGGAGGCACATTTTGGCACTAGTGCGCCCACTGCAATAGAGAGATTAAAAGGTGAGCCATCCTTCTATCACCAAACAGAAGCTCTTCTTTCAATTTTGTAAGCTACTTTAATTATCTTAAAATAGCATCTATACTGAGGTATTGTTTTTAATTGCAAACCACTAAAAGGCAAATAAATTGTCATTAAAAAGTTATTTTAAGAGAGTGACAATTCTAATAATTCATTGAAGCAAACTTAGGTATAACATTTTATTGATATATAACATTTTATTTTTTTATATTTTTTGTAGCCTCACCTTTCCTCCAGGAAAATGTAAAAGGCTCTACCCATCTCCATTTCCCCCCTCCTCAACCCAATTTCCCCTCTGAGGTAGTTTAGGCCAAGAGACAGTGGTTGAACTAGAAGCTTTGTGGCTGTGTGGGATTTGAACTTGGGTCCCTCCCCTAGTGCTCACCTGGAGGTGTACTGCACTTTTAGGCACAGGCAGTGATCCTTTCACACAGGGGCTCTGTTCCCGGCCGCCACACACACCGGCAAAGTGTATATAAGTGCCCCCCACCCTGTTACATCCCATTCTGCCCCGCCCCCATTCTGCCTTCTTTTGGGTTCAAAAAGATCTGTGTGTCAGCGATGACATGTCAATTGGATGTGTCTAAAATGGCTGCCACCTGTACTTGTTGACAATGGAGTGTGCATCCAAGGGTGAAGTCAGTAGCACCAACATGACCTCCCTAGGGCGCAAGCCTGGGCAGCGCATCTGGAGGTCCCGGGCTCCCCCTCTCAACCTCGCTGATGTGGCTCAAAGGGAAGCAGAGCAAGACATTTGGCTTGGCTGCTGTTGCCTGAAGGAGGCGTACAAAGCACCATCCAACCATCTTAGGGACCCCACTCCAGTTTTGTGTAGGGTTTACTCCTTAGCCTTTTCTTCACGCAAGGGTACCCCTCAGGTCATGGAGGTTTAAGATCAAAGTTTTCCTTCTCCTAGATGGGCTACCTTCCCAGGTTGACAAGCCCCCTCTACAGCTTGTGCAGAAACCGCCTTCTTAACCGTTGGACCCACCAACAGTGAAATCCTATGTAAGTTTATTTAGAATTTCAACAAGCCTTTCAAATGGAGGTCTTAATCTCAATTGATACCCGTACTGGATTTTAATTGATTTTATGTATGTGTGGTTCTTTAAAACTATTTTAATATAAATTTTTAAATTGTTTTCATCTATGCAATTATTTTAAGTTTTAATATATGTAGCAGATATCATACATACATACACACAAAATACTGTGTTATAAATTGCTCCAGGATGCCTCATAGAAGTGATTTATGAATTAAATAAGTAGCAATAATAATAATAATATAATTTATTTAGAATTAAGTCCCACTAAATTCAATGAGGCTTACTTCCTAGTAAGTGTGTTTTGGACTGCAGTCGAAGTCAGTCACATTAAATCCGACTTACGTTTCAGGAGTTAGCATACAGATTTTCAGATGCTCTTTTCAGTAATCCCAGCCAGAAAGACAAGGTTTCATTTTAAGCTTTATTGGTTAATGGAGAACACAGACCATTTGCCACCTTCCATACACAGCAATTTTTCTTACTTATTTATGGGATTTTTAGCCCACCCTACCCCAAACCTCAGGGCATTAGATCGATGCAGTATTCCAGCGTGTAATGGAACTGCAAGTCTGAGCTATGCTCTACAAAATCCCTGGCTGAGCACATGGACTCCGGCAAAGAGTGAGAGAAGCCATTCAAGCTGAAGACTGTTTACTAGCAGTCCACTACAAAGCAACAGCAATGAAAACCAGCCCAGAGTACACACCAGGGCACAATCTTCTGAGAGCACTGCACAAGATGCTTCTGAGCTGTTGTTTCACAGACACAAGGATACATGCAACAAGACGCTACTCTATCTGTACAATCACAATTCCAATTCCCAGTTCTGTTCCCAAAATCATGTGTATGAATTTGAATCCCCATCCCACCTGTAGCCACACGATTGAGAAAATGGTGAAAGACTTGCCCAGCGGCTACGGGGCTTCAATGAGGGCTCACATGTTCCTCCTGCTCACTTGTGGTCCCCTGAGTGACCTTGGCCCCCTCTCTCTCAGCTTACTAACCCACCCCAAAGGGCTGTAGTTGCAGAAATAAGAGGGCAGGGCCCTCGCAGGTGTGGCGCCAAGATGCGTGGAGGAAAGGTGAAACACAAATAAATCCCCGCTTCAAGACATGTTTTTTTGCAGCCTGAACGGCTGAGTTCAGGGGGACACACTTGTTGCTAAGCACACACAGGATCACAGACTCTGGGGCCAAGAGCAGCCAATGGGGAGATGGGGTTAAAAGGAAACTAATCCCTATTATCTGCAGCATGCGCCCAGAGCTAGAATCCTGAACACTTGAGACACAAGCTCATTCAAACTGGCGGGGCTTCCTTCCCAGACGCGGCATTCAGAATCACCCTTTAGGGTAAGCAAAAAAGCTGCGCTGGCTGGTCACACTCCCAGTAACAGCACCATTCCAGCAGGCACTGCCACTGGGCATCCTCCATTCACTCCCATCAGGCTGACAAGCCAATCCCTAGCTAAAGCAGCCAAGGCTATGCAAAAACATTTGGCAGGTTGTCTATGTGTCTTTTTAAAAAAGGATGTCCTAGAAGCCCCAATTTTATTGGGAATTAAAACAAACAATGTTATGGTGTTGTGCTTGAACTAAGCCTATACACCCAAGTTCATATAAAAGGGAAGAGGTTTTACTTAGTAGCCATTTTGTCTTCCAACTTGGATGTTACACCTCCCCTGAAACCACTGATGTAAACACCCTATTCAAGAGGCTGATTTCTGAACACTAGGAGAATGGGAAAATATTTTAAGTGGGTGTCTAAAAAAATAATAATACTCTAAATCAAACACTTCAGTAGCAGCAGCAATTTAAGACACAGTCAGGATGCTGATGGAGAGAACTTCTAACTCATGGCATTCTGTAAACAAAACAATGGCAGCGAGCAGACTGGAGTCAGCAGACGCCTCCTTTGCCTAGATTTTTAAAGGCTACTTAATAGTCTGTTCCCCAAAGCCTGCGTGCAATTCACCATCTCAAATGCAATCCCTTCACACAACCTGTATTGCTTCCACTGACAATTCAATCTGCCCCATATATTTTACACCATGTAGATCTCAATTTCAGATCAGCACTACACATACCCAAAATGTCATTTTTAAACCACAAGAGCAAATGCATTAAAGGTTTCAAAGGACATCGTGCACACAGGGAAAGTGAAAGGCCTTTATACTGTGTTTTTCAAGCACTGAAAGACACTTCGTTTTCAGGAATTTTATTTTTGCACAGAAGTCGGTTCAGCTGAAAAAGGCTTCTAATGGAAGGCAAAGCTAGGGTGCCTCCCACTTCGCAAGCCAGTGTAGTGGCTAAATCCTCAATGGCAGACAGCGAGTCAGTCCCTGGCTTTAGGAGTGTGCCCAAGGAACAACGTATTGCAGTCTTTTTTGAATGAACATCTTCTCCAGCTCTCTTGCTCAAAGGGGAGGTCTGATTCTGGCGGAAAACCCGGAGCAGTGCCGAGGAAACGGCGCCCTACGCTGCAAAAAAGGGGGGCTGCGGCGGCGGCGGCAGCAGCAGCTGTAAACAAGCGAGGGGCTGCTGCTGCTATTGCTGCTCAGCAAGAGGCAAGTCACCCCATTCTGGTGTTTGCAGCAAGGAGGGGAGGGAGAAAGAGATGCATGTCAACATGCGGCAGAGGCGCCCCCGCCTCCTCCGACAAACGCGCCTTGGGGTGGGGGGGGCGCTGGGCGGAGGAGGAGAGGGCGAGCCCAGCCAGCCGCCAGGCGAGGCGATGCCCCTTCACGGAACGACCTGCTGCTTTGCACACGACGGGGCGAGGCGGGGGGGGGGGAGAAGGCATGTCTCTCGCCTCCTGCCCCGGGCTGCACTGGACGCGACCGTGGATCGGGAAGCAGCCCCGTGCAAAGCAGCGCCTGGCGAGCTTTGTGTTGGGTGGCCAGCAAGCTAGCTAGCTAGGAAGCATGCAGGCAGACGTGCACCCTGCCTTACGCGCCCAGCCCGACCCCTTCTCCATACGAGCGTGTCTGGCTCTGTCTGCCCGGGTCTGTCTCGCTCTCCCTCCGCAGAGCCGAGTAAACACATTTTCCATTTCCCCTCCCCCACCCTGCAGACACACAGGCACACACACACACGCCCCGCCGCCGCCGCCGCCGCCGCCACCTTCTTCCTCCCTGCCGCCGCCGCAGAAAGAACCTTGCGGGATCGGAGCCAGAAGACAGCATGGGAGGGGAGGCGGCGCACCGGGGGCTCTGCAACCCTTGCAAAAACAAAACCCCGATCTGGAAGGCGAGGGGCCCGTCCAGGCACCCCCCGCACCGCGGCTCAGAGCGCCCTATCAATATGCAGCAGGCAGGGCGGCTGGGCACATGCAGCGCATGCATGAGTAAACCCCCGGCCGGCTCCCTCCCGAGCCCCCAGCCAGCCACCCCCGGGCCCGGAGCCTTCCCCGGGCTGCTCACCAGATGGAGTTCTTGATCTTGTGCTGCAGCGCGCTGGCTTCGGTCCCCTGCAGCCCGGGCACCAGCGCCGGCAGCGAAGGGGCCGCCGTCGCCACCGGGACGACCCCGCCGGGGGCTTCGGGGGGCGGCTGCTGCTGCTGCTGCTGAGTCGGAGGTGGCTGGTGCTGCTGCGGCTCGTCTGCCATCACTGCCGGGTCGGGGCTGGCTGGCTGGCGGAGGAGGAGGAGGCGGAGGCGGAAAAAGGGAGGCGGGCGGAGAGGGCGCGCGGCTGGCTCGCTTGGCTAGGCCTTCCCCGCCGCCGCCGCCGCCGCCGCCGCACCACCACCACCAGCAGCCACCGCTGCAGCCCTCGCGGGAGCCGCCTGGCCCGGCTGCTGGCTGGAGGGGCGCATACCCGAGCAGGAGCCGCCGCCGCCGCCGAAGGAGGAGGAGCCTCCCGCTGCCGTTGCTACGCCGGAGGAGGAGGAGGGAGGCGCATCGCGGCCAGGCGCGCACAAGGAAGGCCGGCCAAAGGGAGCCCGCGGCCGCGCAGCGCAAGCAGCAGCAGCAGCACCTCGCCTCCGCTGCGCTTGGCTTCTCCGCCTTGCAGACTCCTGTGGCTGCCGCTGCCGACTTGGTCGGTCGGTCGGCCGGCCGGACAGCCTGCTGTGCGCGCAGCCTCAGTCGGCGCGACCGCCCTCCTGTTGTCGCGGGAGAGGCAGGGAGCGAGCGAAGTAGGGCGCGCGCTCGGCCCAGGAGGAGGAGAAAAGGCGCAGCCGCCCGCCCGCCTCCTCTGGTGCTCGGCCCGGAGAGATGGGCGCCCCCCAAGCGCCCCGGCCGTCGCAGGTGTTCGCTGCCTCCCAGGGTCCGGTGCCACTGCCGCTGCTCCTGCTCTGTTGCCCGGAAGGAGAGACCCACCGCTGGCATCCCTAGGCATGCTTCGGAGGAACCGCCCCCGGCGAAGAGGAAGGCACGAGGGAGGCGGCTTCAATCCCGCGCATTGAGGGCTCGCTTCTTGGCAAGGAGCAGCCGGCCAGCGGAACGCAGCGGGACTTGATGTCAAGGTAAGGTGCTTCGACTTCTACTCGTCGTCTTCTGCCTGCAGAACTCCAGAGCGCGAGGGAACGCGGCTTGGAAGCAGCGTTGCGCTCCTGCACGTCCCCGTGGCGTTCAGCATATGCGAGAATGTGGGTCGGGAATTGCAGCCTCGGGTTCCACGCTGCTTCTGAGTAGACTGCAGTGGATCGCGCCACCTGAGATCACATGAATCATGACACAGGAGAGCCATTGGGCACCTGAGGATTTGCCTTGCTGGCAGAGGCCAAAGGGCTCCGTGGTGTCCATCTTTCCTCCACAACAGAAGGACAGTGAGGAATTCCTGAGCAAAGAAGGTCACACGTCATTTTTTCCCCCATTTGTGGTATACTGTCTCTGAGCATGGAGGTTGCAGTTAAGAGACCATGGCTGAGAGCAAATTGTAAATGAAGTTTGGCTTCCATGAATGTGTCAAAGGCCCTTTTGAAGCCATGTCAAACTATCTGATGTGGACTGGCAAAAAAAAAAAATCCATTGTACCAGGAACCGGTACCATATTTGGCCCCTAAAGCATCCCACCCAAGCGCGGCTTGCAGAGGAGTCACTGTGGACCAGAACTTTGAGTAGCACTGATCTAGACCACAGCCGTCACCAACTCTCTTTGGCAGCAAGTCCCAATGGTTGATTGTGCCTTATGTGAAGAAGGAACACCTTCTAAAGGCTGGAAGCCAAGTTCAAGTTTGGGAAGCTCTTGGGTTCTAATAGTACCATTAGCATTTAACTGTCTCTTTTTGGAGAGCTAGCTTGGTGATGAAAATGTCTGACTGGGATGGGAGGGGGGCAAGATTAAAATCGCCACTCAGCTCACCGAAACCATGGAGAGCTGTAAGTCAGCATAATAGCGAGACACAGGCGGATGAACCAAAGGTGTGACTTGGGATAAGACTTCTGGGCTTGCTCTTGGTGGGCTCTCCTATAACAGTGGGCTGGAGGAGAGAAGTGTGCAGAAAGCTTCTCTTGCACTGGGCAGTATTTGCCCCATGTCTGGCCTGTAGTTGGTCTAAAATTCTGGGGTCCCCATTTCCATCCTGCTCCCTAACAGATTCCAGAGAGAAAGGCCAGTTTTCAGGAAGAGCAATGCTTTCTGGGAAGCTGTTTGAAGGCTAAAGCTCCAATAAAGAGCCAATTCAAGGAGGGGAAGAAGTCAGCACATCAGTCCTCTGGAAGTTACGACCCTAACTCTGTTAGTGTCTGGCATTTGCTTCAGCGCCTGGGCAGCTCCACTCCTGCTTGTGCCTCAGATGGGGAAGGGAGAAGGTGGCAGGCCAAAGGCTACTGAGGAGCAGCCCTCTGCTCAAAGCCAGGCCTCAGGCCTGCTGTTTGGCTCCTGCCACCCTCTGACCCTGGGTCTCATAAAGAGGAAAGGGGAGGCAGAGTGGTCATCTTTCTCCAAAGCACTACTCTGTGAGATGCTGAAGGGGAAAAGAAGACAGGAAGAACCACAGTGCTGGTGCTAGTTCTGAGTAAAAAGACGGGAAACAGAAGACACCTCATGGACCCCTTCTGAAGTGAGGCAGGGGGGAATCGGGACGGCCAACTGCCTTCTCCTCAGGGGAAGAGAAAAGGAACCTGACTGCCACTTTGAACTGAGACTGGCTTGTTCTTCAGTCGTGAGTGGAGAAGACAAAGCCATCTTGACCCTTGGCTTGTGCCTGAGGCACATGCCTTTCCCCACTTCCAAATGAGTTTGAAGGTAAAGGGACCCCTGACCGTTAGGTCCAGTCGTGGCCGACTCTGGGGTTGCAGTGCTCATCTCGCTTTACTGGCCGAGGGAGCTGGCGTACAGCTTCCGGGTCATGTGGCCAGCATGACTAAGCCGCTTCTGGCGAACCAGAGCAGAGCACGGAAACGCCGTTTACCTTCCCGCCAGAGCGGTACCTATTTATCTACTTGCACTTTGACATGCTTTCAAACTGCTAGGTTGGCAGGAGCCAAATGAGTTTAGGAGAGCATAAATGGTGGCTGGCTTCCTTCTTTTAATGGGGGAGAGGTAGAAGCCATCTTAGCACTGGGTTTCTGCCTCAGGAACACACCTTTCCCAGCCACAAAGTTGGAGGAGAAGAGCACAGGTGTCATGCAGGACATTTGGCTTCTCTTTCTTGTGGTGAATGGTTCTTCCTCAGCTCCTTTGGGACTTGGGGAAAGAGCACTGACATTCTGAAAAGCCTTTTTCTCTTTCATGACCATAAGGGGTAGCCGATATGGTACTCTCCAGATGTTGCTGGACCAGAACTCCCATCCTCTCAAATAATGGCCACATCTGCTGGGGCTGATGAGTCCAGCAGCTTTTGAAGGGTGCTGGGGTGGCTCCCACTTAACACCATTTATACCCAGGCAGGGCATAGCCCCTCCCCTTGGAAGCATCCTTGCCACTTGACATCTCCTGTAGCCGTGTGGTTGTGTTGTCCCACCTACGACCACTGCCTCCCCTTGGCACCTGGGAAGAAGGGCGTGTACCACATTGGGCCTCGTGATGACTGGCAGGCCGAAGTCCCTGGGCTGGTCATACCTTGAATAAATACTAGCAGCCCTGTCTTCTGCCCTACCTTGGTCAGCTGAATACTGCCAGCTACAGTTCAGGCACTCGTTGCTCTCAACACCCTCCAGGAGACTGTGGGGAGTGATGTATACAACATTGCCCCTTGCGTAATAAAATCCCATCTACTTTATTGCATTTTAAAATGTATTCTAAGCCACCTCGCAAACTTCAGTTATTAGGAAGGCTATAAATGCCCCCAAATAAATATATTAAAAAATAATTCAATGATGTTATGCACCAATATATGCCAAATAATAACATTTTTTAAATAATTCAATCATTTTACACAATACATATTTGCAAAAGTCATTACCATTCTCTTTCCTTCTCCAATTTTAATTATTTTTCCAAAAACAGCACCTCTCCCCATATGAACTGACCAGACCCTGCAATCATCATCTGAGGCCCTTGTTTGTGTGCCGCCTCTATGAGAAGTCCAGAGGCTGGCAACATGAGAACAGGCCTTTTCTGCAGTGGCTTCCCACTTGTGAAATGCTCTCCCCAGGAAGGCTTGCCTGGTGCCTTCACTACATATATTTAGGCGCCGAGCAAAAACATTCCTCTTCTCCCAGGCCTTTGGCTAATTAAGCAAATTATGGCCTTTTAAACTAGGGGGGTTGTTTTGGTTTGTTACTATGTTATGTATTTCTGTATTTTTGTATCGTAAACCACCCTGTGACCTGTGTGTGTGTGTGTACACTTTTGTCCACAGACAGCTTTCCGGGACATGTGGCCAGCATGACTAAACTGCTTCTGGCACAAGAGAACACCGTGACAGAAATCAGAGCGCACGGAAATGGCGTTTACCTTGCTGTCGCAGTGGTACCTATTTATCTACTTGTGCTGGTGTGCTTTCGAACTGTGAGGTTGGCAGAAGCTGGGACAGAGCAACGGGAGCTCCCCACCATGGCACGGATTCAGCAAGCCAAAGAGGAAACATCACTATATAACACCGGTCTTGAAAGACCTACACTGGCTCCCAGTACGTTTCTGAGCACAATTCAAAGTGTTGGTGCTGACCTTTAAAGTCCTAAACGGCCTCGGTCCAGTATACCTGAAGGAGCATTTCCACCTCCATCGTTCTGCCCGACACTGAGGTCCAGCACCAAGGGCTTTCTGGCGGTTCCCTCGCTGCGAGAAGCCAAGTTACAGGGAACCAGGCAGAGGGCCTTCTCGGTAGTGGCACCCACCCTGTGGAACACCCTCCCACCAGATGAGAAAAACAACTACAGTGGTACCTCGGGTTAAGTACTTAATTCGTTCCGGAGGTCCGTTCTTAACCTGAAACTGTTCTTAACCTGAAGCACCACTTTAGCTAATGAGGCCTCCTGCTGCCGCCGCGCCGCCAAAGCCCGATTTCTGTTCTTATCCTGAAGCAAAGTTCTTAACCTGAAGCACTATTTCTGGGTTAGCGGAGTGTGTAACTTGAAGCGTATGTAACCTGAAGCATATGTAACCTGAGGTACCACTGTACCAAACTTTTAGAAGACATCTGAAGGCAGCCATTTTTAGGGAAGCTTTTAATGTTTAATAGGTTATTGTATTTTAGTGTTCTGTTGGAAGCCGCCCCGAGTGGCTGGGGAAACCCAGCCAGATGGGCGGGGTACAAATAATAAATTATT